TATCCACTGCTCCGTCCCACTAGTACATTTTCATGGAGGCCTGTAGGGTCCCCGCCATTTCCACACCTCTGTAGGCTTGGGCTTCCTCTCTCATGCCATGAGCCAGGAGTTAGGGAGAATGTACAGTTTGCCAACAATCCAGGAGTCAGGGATCCCCTGAGAACACAGTTTAACATCTCTGTCTTCTGCCTTGAGGTGATTCACCTCACTCTGTCATCAGAACTTTCCTGGGCCTTGAGGATCCACCTCCATCCTTCTCTTCCCTACTTTGCTGTACTCTTGTATCTGTTCTCCCAATCTCAGAGTCTGATTTGCCATTGCCCACCACTGTACACTCTTCCTGTACCATCTTTTTTTCCAAAAAGAAAAAGAATTATTTATTTTTGCTCACAGTTTTAGTCTGTATTGTCTGGCTCCAAGGCAGAAATAGAATGGCAAAGGGGCATGATGGATGAAAGTGCTCACCTCATAGTAGCCAAGAAGCAGAGAGAGAAGGGAGGATCCAAGGATGAGAATATACACTTCCATACCTTCCACACACTTCCACAGTGACCCATCCCTTGTGACCAGGCCCCACCTCAGGTGTGAAATTTTGGGGGGCATTTTTAGATTTAAATCATAACAACCTCATGGGATCTCTGGATCATACATATGGCAATTCTGTTTTTAGTCTTTTGAGGAACATCCTACTCTTTTTATAATGGGTATAGTAATTTACCCACCAACAATGTGTAAGAGTTCCCCTTCTCCGTATTCTTCACAAGCATTTGTTTTTTCTGTCATTTTATAAGGGTTATTCCAATGAGTGAGATGATCCCACAGTGGATTTTATTTTTGTTTTTGTGGCACTGAGGATTAAACTCAGGACCTTGCACATGGTAGGCTTGCCACTGAGCTGCGTTTCCAGCCTCTCGTTGTAGTTTTGATTTGTATTTCCCTAATGACTAATAATGCTGAGCTTTTCGGCGGGGGGCATCAAGCCTTTTGAAAGTATCTGTTCAGATCCTTTGCCTATTTTAAAACTAGATTACTTGGGTTTTTATTGATGAATTGTTTGCATTCCTTATGTATTCTGGATATTAATCTCAGGTCAGAGGATAGTTTGCAGTATTATCGGGTTGTCTCACTACTGTTTCCTTTGTTGTACAGATGCTTCTTAGTTTGATACACAGTAATCCCATTTGTCTAATTATGCTTTGCTTGCCTATGCTTTGGGTATGTTATCTAAGGCATTGTTGGCTGTACCGCTGTCTAAGACAGTCCCCTTATTTTCTTCTAGTCATTTCATAGTTTCAGTTCTTAAAAAAATCTTTGATCCCTGGGCTGGGGATTTGGCTCAGTGGTTCTGCCATCTGCCCCACTAACACAAGGACCCAAGTTCGATCCCCGGTACAAAAAACAAAAATCTTTGATCTGTTGTTGAGAGTTTTTGATGCATGGAAATTTTTAATCCTGGTGAAGTCCAACTTATATAATTTTTTTGTTTGTTGCTTATATTTTTTATGTTATGTCCAAGAAGTCATTACTGAATCCACTGTCATTAAGCTTTTCCTGTGTTTTCTTCTAAGAGTTTTACCATTTTTGATTCCTATGTTCAGGTCTTTGATTCTTTTTTTTTTTTCTTTCTTTTTATTGAGGTTATTGGTACAATCTAGGTATACAATACAATTACATTCATCATTGGGATTCTGTACCTTTACATAATAGGTCTTGATTCTCATTTTTCCCCTTGTCCCTGCCCTCCCTTCACCCCCTCCTCCCCTCCCCATTTACAAACACTTTATTTCCATTTTTTCAGTTTCTCATATTGTTTTCCTCTCCCTTATTACCTTTCCCCCACCCTTCCCACTTTCCTTACACCTTTAGCCCTTTACTTCCTATTTCACATTATTAATTATCTCATTAGGATCCTGTATACTATTATAGTTTTTCACACTAAAGAAACTATTCGGTATTTCAGTTTAAAGAAATCTCTGTATGAATATTAAAAATAGGGAATCCTAAAATAAAACTAAAAAGGAAAGTAAAAGAGAAAAGGCAATGATGTAACATCAAAATAATCCTTAATTCTGGAGATGAAAATGGTCCCTGAACATATTTAAATTGCTTCTCGCTCTTATAGTCTTATCTTATTCTTTTTTAACATGTCATTAATAAGTCAGTACATATCAGTTATAACCAGCAATGTCAATGGCCTCAACTCACCAATCAAGAGAAATAGACTGGCAAAGTGGAATAAGAAGCAAAATCCAATAATGTGTTGTATACAAGAAACACACCTAGTGCAGAA